AACTGAAAACTACTTTCCTGCCTGAGTGGGTATGAATAATAATTAATAGTTTCTCTAGTTAATGAAGAAATAAATAAGCAATTCAAAAAATCAGTTGGTGTCCGCAGCTGAGTGTTTACATTGTTCTCATTGCTGGAAGATAAGGAGGAGGCCCAGCTGGCAATGACATTGAAAATGGTTTCTTTACTCTTAGTTCGGTGATACCACTTACACCAATAAGTAACTGCCTTGTTAAGAGTGTGTTCACTCCTGAGGTGAGTTGTGCTGCAGAGCCAGGATGTGCAGTGGGCCGTGTTTTGGGGGTCTGGGTGTATCAGGAATAAAGGAGACTCAGAGATTTGAAACACTGGAGTAGAAACAGGACTGAAATGAATAGCCCTATAAAAATCCTAATCAGAATAAGCATAGTAGAATTCTGAGCTGTTTCTGCCCATCCTAGATATGCTGCATTTGTTGTTTTCCTTGGAGCTGGCACTTGGGCATGAGCAGCATTTTCTTACAGGTGCATAGGAGCCAGTTGCAGATGTTCTGGGTTTGTAATTTATAACGGCACTGGGGAATCTTTTAGTAGTCTGTAACTCTGAAAAACCCTTCCATTATGCATTTCCCCTGAACTTCTTTTTGTTAAGGGTGACAATTGCTAAGCTGACGGCTCCTTTTTGACTGACAACCCCCAGATTTCCTGAGCTGCTGCTGCTCTTGCTCTGCAGCTTGCAGCCATTTTCCTTAAAGGCAGACAGTTTTTAACCAAGTTCTCTTTCTATTGCACATGCGTAACTTGCTGTTGGTGCAAATGTAATTCGCATTTTTAAGAAGACTTTACCCTTCGTCAGAACTGTGCTCGGGCATGGCACATTTTGGGCAAAACGTGATCCAGGCTGATTATCCCAAGCTTTCATGTGGTGGTAAAAGAGTTGCAGGTTCTAGACTCTAAATGATCTGTAATTTTGATCCTGAAAGCGTTCATCTCGTCATTATCTTGCTAGAGTTGTTTCCCATAGAATCATGGAATCCCAGAATGGTTTGGGATGGAAGGGGTTTTAAAGCTTACCCTGTTCCACCCCCTGCCGTGATCTTGGCTGTCACAGCCTGGCCAGGGACTGAGGTGCTGGAGTGACCGACTTACCCAGTCCCAGGACCATCCCCTGCGGGAGGACAAGGGACCTGTGGGAATGGAGACCCCGAGACAGGAAAACCTCCCACCACCATAAACGTTACCACACCCGGCTTTAGTGCAGTTTGACCCTTGAGCTGGGTTTGAAAGTCTCTGGTGAATGATTAACACTGAAATGGCTTTAGTTAAACAACTTGATTTCTGCAGAGCTCGTTACTGGGGCTGCATCTTCGTTAAGGTTTTCCATTTTACCCTCTTCATTAAGGTTTTCCATTTTACCCACTTCGTTAAGGCTTTCCATTTTGCCCCCATATGTTTCCTTGACTGGAAATGATAACTATATCTGTACAAATAAATAAAATCAGATTATATAGAAATAGTTTTGAAAGTGCAGGGTAATGGAACCCACGTAACAAGTAACACCTTACCTCTCAAAATAAAATTTCATCGAAGTTTTTGCAAATTTGGAACCCTTAAAATTTGGAGGATTTTCCCCTCTCTCATCTATCATGCTTGACTTTTTTTTTTTTATTTACTTAGATAAGGCTGATAGTTTAGTAGATTTTTATTGCATTTAAAACCATTTCTGCAAATACTGCAAGGTAGCTTTTCTATTATTATATTATCTCAGAGTGTAATTCCCCTGTCTTACCTCTTCCTTAGGAAGTGGTTGGTTGTCTTAATTATTACATGTAACTTTATTAGTAAAATATTCGTATTAAACATCAGTCTGCTTAGTTGTGGCTCTTGCAGGAGCACTTGTGCATTGTAATCCCTCCTGGTTGTGTTTTACAACCAGGGGCTGTTGGTGGCTGGCAGTTCTCCACACAGTTAGTAAATATTGCCCTTATCTGATACAGCCAGGCTGGGAAGATATGCCAGGAGCCTGGATTAGATTGCTGGCTACTGCTTTATTAATCAATGTAATCATTTATTTTTAGTTTTCTAAGTCATATCATCTGTTTTCTTTCTCATATTACATTTTCTGTGGTGCTGGTACAGAAAATGAGCCCTGTTTAAAAATTAAAGGTGATTGAAAAGTTTCAGTGGAATATGTTTGGCACTGCCATGGTTTCCCTGACAGCTGATGAATGTTTCCTTAAAAATGCTTTTGTCAGAAACTTGAGAGGTATAAAGGGTTTTATTTTTGTATCTAAATTAGCTGCCTTCAAAATTATACATAGAAAGATGTTTCCATCTTATTCTGCTTTTAATCATTTTAATGAAGCAAACTTCTCAAGTTATATTCCTTATTTAAACCTACAGGCTCCCAGCCTATACTTCAGTGCTTAGTCTGAGATTTTTATTCTAAGCAAAGGAGCTACTGGGCCTAAAACTTAAGAGAAAATAAGGCATCTTAGACTGGCCAGTGATTATTGATTGTGGGAGGGGGGTTGTTTGGTTTTGAGATAGGTGCTGGGGTTTTTTAGTTGGGATTTTTTGCATAGGACTCTACAAAGTGAAGAAACAATTCAGTTCCTTTTTCCAAATGGATCAGTAAGCTGGAGGGGAAAAAAAAATTAAAGAAGTAAGTAATGTATGTATCACAGGAAAGTAAGCAAACCTCCATGCTTACAGTGTTCATTCCTAGAGGTCTCTGCTCTTGAGGAAGGCAGACGTGCTGGGTACAAATCAGGATGAGCGTGTAATTAAAGATGCATGTTTGTAAGGACATCAAATAGAGGGAACTGGGTTGAATTACATTCCACCATCGCTTGGATGCTGAGGGCTCGATTGTGCAACCGTAGGGTTTTATTAGACCTTTCTGTTCTTTAAAAGAAGAGAAATTAATTGGAAAACCCAGCAACGCCATCCCATGGCTCATAAACATGGATACAGTTCATCAGTGAGCTGACAGACATGCTGATGGTGGTTGTCAGCCTCTTGGTAGAGTAATAGAGGAGAAGTGCTGCAGCATTCCACAAATATTTTCTGAATGCAGAGGAGCAATGTGACAGATTTGAGCTCCATTCCAAGTTCTGGAAAGAAACATTCTTTCCTTTGGGAAAAGAGGGGCCTTTTTCTTCCCTTTTTCCTCAAGGCTTACTCATTCTCCTTCATTCCCACTGCTGGCCTTGCCTGTTGAGGCCTTTGCACCACCCTTTTTCTGCTCTGCTCTTCCCACTGCTCTTCTAGCATGTTGGAGCTGTTGCAATGCCCCTGTCCAGTGTTTTCATTTCTGCTCAGCCCTCTACTGTGGCTGAGGTACAGCTCAGCTCCTCTCCTAGCTCAGACACAGTTTTTAGGGGGATCTACTTGTATCCTAAGCCTTTGCCTGCCCATGCTCTCTCATTTTTTCACCTAACCCAAGTAATTTTCACTTTTCTCTGCCCCCTGGTTCTGTTTTATTTTCGAAGTGAAGACTTCATTGACACATTTATTCTGTTTTGACTTTGATCCCTCTGTATTTGAGTGGGAGCATTCCTGCTCCTTTTTATTGCCTAAATCCCTCTTGGAAAGAACAAACACGATGGCAAAGTGAATTGCTAGAGGGGCCATTTCTCAGGTACTCTGGGGATGGGACATATGGACCAGTTCAAAAGCAGAGACTCCCAGGTGTTGAAATGTTCTAATTTGGGCTGGAATTTAAGGTTTGTGTGAACATTTGAGAACTGGGGGGGGGGGGGAGTTGAAATGTGTGACCAAATCTGGTCAGACTTTCTTGAGGAGAGGAAAAGGAATTTTCCATGCAAAAGCTAGCCCACATACAAATGTTAAGCCCACACTGGGGAACGTGGATGGTCTGGAGAGTTTCCAAGGAAAGGCACCAAAGTCTTTAAAAAAGTGTCATTTTTCTAGCTTCATCTGGAGAGTGGCTGGAACCCTGGGGAACAGGATTTTCTGTGAAAAACATTTTAAGTGAAGCAGACGGTACAGAAATTGCATTTTAGGAGTTTAAAACCCTGTTGGAAATCACATAATCACAGAATGGTTGGGGTTGGAAGGGACCTCTGGAGATCATCCAGACCAACAGCCCTGCCAAGGCAGGGTCACCTGGGGCAGGTGACACAGGAATGTGTCCAGGTGGGTTTGGAATGTCTCCAGAAAGGGAGACTCCACCCCTTCCTGGGTAGCTGTTCTGGGGCTTTGTCACCCTCCATGGAAAGAAGTTCTTCCTCATGTTGAGGTGGATAAACTCAACAAGCTGGGCCTTACAGGAGGTGGGGGGCAGCCTCCAGCGGGCAGTGCTGTGGCTGGGGCTGTAGCTCAATAAGATCAACCTCTGAACTCTGGCCCAACACTGCTGGCTCAGCCCTGAGGATTAGGAGCAGCTCCAGGGTGATTACGATGGATTGTTTGTTGTTCTAACAGGAATTTTTTTTTTTTTCTTTACGAGCTAACCCTTTGTTTGTAGCTGGGCTGTGTGTTTACGTTGGAAAACCAGGTCCTGATGTTAGGAATGTATATATGTTCTTCTCCTAAACTGCTGCGAAGTGATCACTTGTTGCTATGAATATTTATCAGTATATGGCCCAACTTGCACAGCTTCTTGCATAACAGGATCCCAGTAGAAAACTCGGTGATGGTGCTGGAAGCGGAGCCCTTGTGCAGATTGCGGGGAATGCGACAGTAATGGAAACAAGATGGAGTAAGAATGTGTTTTAAGAGTCAATTTTAAAGGCTGGGATAATTGTGCAAGAAACTTGGCTTCAGAAATGTGTAAGGGAAGGAATCTTGACCCAGCCAAATAGGCCATGAAAAATCCATACAATTTTCCTTAGGTTTTACAGAATTTTTTGTTTAACTCATTCAAGAGTCTGGTGCACTTTGTGTGCAGAACTGTCCCGCTGGAGAGTGAGGACAAGCCATTTCTGCAGGTGGTACCAACGTTGTGTTTGCCTCTATCTCATAGATCTTAATGAAGTATTTTTCTGCTTTCTTTCAGCCCTGGAATAAGATCAGATGTAAGCTCCTCTCCCTCCACAACCTCAGCAACTACGGGACCACCTCCCAAGCTCTGTCTGGTGTGCTCCGACGAGGCCTCCGGGTGCCATTACGGTGTTCTGACATGTGGCAGCTGCAAAGTGTTCTTCAAAAGGGCGGTGGAAGGTAGGACATGCTTTGATGAGTTTGCCGTTTAAAGATACGAAAGTCCCTGTACATATCATCCACATTCAAACCATTAGATCACTGATCTTGTCATAGTAAATCACACTGATAATGGTCCATTATCCGAAGCGTGGATTCCATTCACACTGATAAAATGCTCCTATTCAGTCCGTGTAAAAGGATTTATTGTTGTCTTGGCTTTTGTCTGTTTCGTGTTCTTTCATGGTTGTTTTTGTTTATTTGTCCCACTTTTATACAGATATTTGTCTGTGTGCATTAGATTTGTAAAGTTTGTGATTTTTCAGTTGAAGGCTAACTGGTTTGTACAGAAAATTGTACATAAAAACTTGATAAATCTGTTGTGTGTGAGGTTGTAGCGTTTTTACAGTTCTTCCTGTAAGCATTGTTGGTTGAACTGCATCCATGTCACTGTGTGAGTTGCAGGTATTTGGGTAACAGGGACATGTGTGTGGGTTTGGAGCATTGATATTTCTGCCTAATCACAGAGAGAAAATCAGTGTAGAAACTAGAGATGATAGAAAACTAAATGTGATTAAGGGCTCAGTGATTTTGGGGCTGCATCAGTAGCTATTTTGTAATGGACTAGCTTGTACCTCAGGGTATGACTCTTGACTTCAACATCAGATGCAGTAAAGTTGGAGCATATTCCCAGTGTCTCTTAAAGGATGGTGATTCCTGAGTTCTGAATAAAAAATGTCATTTTTAGTTAGAGCCTCCAGGGTTTCCTGTCTCGTGGTATCCTCATGCATCCTCCACTGAACCAGACTCATTCTCTGCTGACATTTTTGTAAGCTGGGATCTCTGGAGAAGGCTGTTTGATCAAGACAAGTCATCATTCAGTCTTTAGAAGCAGCACTTTCCCCCAGTTCCCAGCTCAGGGGGTGCCATGGGGAGCTCTGTGGAAGTGCAGAGCCTCTCAGAGGGACCGGAAAAGTCAAGGTCACATCGCAGTTTTTGCCTGTCACAAGGGGAGGGATGTTGGCCTTGGGGGAGCTGAAGCTGTTCTGAAGTATAACGAGGCAGTAGGAGCTCAAGTGCAAAGTACTTTATTTAAAGCAGATAATCATCTGTACCTTTGATTAAAATCAGGTCACTGGAGATCCCTCAGGAGATATATTATATGGCAGCTGGATATGTGGCAATAGCCATGATTTTGCCTGCTCTCAAGCTTAAATAAATCAGAAAAGTATTGATACAGGAAAGAACCAACCCAGTGATTCCTTCTGATCAGTGATACAACTTGACTCATCATATATCAACTGTGTTGGTATTAAAAATGTAAGCAGGCTTGTGGCTGAAAAACGGCAATCAGTTCCTCAAGGCTTAATCTGCTTCCATTTTTATTGTTCCACAAATTATCCCCCCTTCACAGGATCACAGAATCATTTACGTTGGAAGAGCCCTCCAAGATCATCAGGTCCAACCTTTTTACTGATCACCACCTTGTCAACTGGACCATAGCAGGAAGGATTAAGGGCCCTTAATCCTTCCATCAGATATCATGGATGTTTTCAGGAGCCCTTCCAGGATCTGTTAGTCCTGGTCTTCACTTTAAGGAACAAATAATTTGCTTTTGTCTTTTATAGGCTTTTTTTTTATTAGGAACATATGTAAAAGGAATTTGTTTCTGCAATATCCTTTTTATTAGTAGCTGCCAGGCACCTGTTAGTATTCAGATCAAGCTGACTCTGCACACTGGTTATCCAGCCTTTAGCCAAAGCCCTTTTTTCCACCTTTGCCTCCAAGCCTGTGGACTATGACAGAAATAATCACAGAAACTGGAAGTGTCAGTGTCTAGAAAGTCCATATAAAGTGTATTCCTTTCAGCAAAGAATAGAACTAGAGGAGAAAAGGGAGAATGAAGGTGGGAAAGCAACTATATATTTATGCACAATTCTTCACACAAACAGGCCTTCAGGAACCCAGAGAGGCCAGAGATCTTGTTTTAGCTCTGATTTTCATGGTGTTTCAGAGCCTAGAGCCCTCGTGATCGAGTTTCTCCTGTCGCAGAACCAGCCCTTTTCACCTCCCAATATGTTATCCCCTGGATCTTCAGCACTCCTCCCACCTTCGCTTCCTCGCCTCGGAGCAGATCCTCACACCTCCCTCCACTGCAGATTCCCCCAACACCTCTCCCTCCTGCTGTGCTCCAGATTAGCCCTGTTTGTCAGCAGTTTTAAGTCCATCTTCCAAAGTCCTTTGTCTGCAAGTTCTAACCTTTTTGTGGGGCTGCTGTGCTCAAATAAGCAGAGGGTTGTGCAGTGTCAGAGCATCAGAGCCCCCGACGCTGACGGGTGCTGCAGGCAGTGTGACGTTGTGGAATGGCCAACCTCTCTGTAAAATGCACTGTGTGCCCCAAATCCCCTTGGAAACATCTCCATGGCTCACTGTTGGTTTTTACCAGAGTTTCTGTTATGTATCTTTGGGTTTTGAGCAGCAAAGAGAACTGAAGCGCTTTCCTTTGGCACGTCCTCTGGGCAGCACTCAGGCACGGAGATCAATTTCCCTTCATTTTCCCACAAGATGTTCATGTGGCAAGAAGGCTTTAATATAATGTAATTCAAATAAATAGTGTAGCTTGCCCCCAGAAAAGGCAAGAACAGGTGAGAAGTAAATAGGAGAAACCAAACCTTCATGGAGAGGATCCTCTTTGTTAGGAATAAAATGGAACAACAGCTCAGGAAAATCTTCACCTGAAGTATCTGTATTGTTGTGTGAAACTGGTCTCATCAGACATCTTTGAGAGACATGGAATTGTGGTCTCTGCTCCTCTGCAGTGCTGACAAATTGTCATCAGTTTATATTTCTTGTGTGTGTACAGGTATATTTGTTTATATGTAGTAGGGTGCTAATGGCAAACAGAATGGTGAGTCCTGGATCTGTTGTCTAGGTTGATTAAACACAAAGATTACACAAGGGTCAGGAAGGCTCCTCTTCCCCAAACGGAGGAGGTGGGAGAGTTCATTCAGAAAAATGTTCAGAGCTTCCTTGGAATATCCACTTGAGACAACTTCACTGAAGAAGTTTGACCAAAGCCATAGGAATGGACTCTGCCTGCCCATAATTTTCACGACTGACTTGAAACAAATTCCTTACCCAAGCTGTTTTACTGTGAGAAGACTCTTGAACTCTGTAGTTAATAACTCTGTCTTTGGAAAACACGTTTGTTTCTCACAATATTTTACTGTCAGGACTTGCAGTATGGTGTAAAAGCCCAGGCTGCAGCTTTCTGCCCTCTAAAGAAACGTATTTCCTGATCCCTGTCTGGGAGAAGGATCTGTCCTTTAGTAATACTTTTCCCTTAGTAAGTTATTTGGAGGCATTTGGTCACGTAATTCAAATAATTAGGAATATATACTCTTCTCTTGCCGTGCTCTTAACAGCTAAGAAATAGTTACCTAATTTCTGTAGTTCAAGTTGTGTTTTTAGGGTCACTTTTGCTCTAAATCTGTGATTCCAGAAAAACATCAGAGAACTTGGTTTGTCCAGGTCAGGCTGCAAGTTAAACACGGAGAAGGTTTCATGACTTGCAGACTGATGAGGCTGTGTCTGTTCTCTGTAGAAGTCTCTCCAATTGTATTCTCAAATGTGCTTGTGAACGTTATTTATACCTCTTGTCAAACTATTTAGAGAAATGGGAAACCTGCTGTAGAAAAAACATTTGGTAAATGTAAGGGAAAAACGGTTTTAAAAATAGAAGCCTGATACTAACAAATCAAAATTAGGATTTTGAACTAAATTTATTGGCTTTGGGGTCTAATTATGAGAAATCTGTTTGGATACATGAAATCGGATGTATATTGATATTTTTGCAAGACATGGAGTGCAGTAAGTAAAGGTCTTACATCGTCCCCAGACCCTTAATGACTGAAGGGATGAATGGCTTCAGCTACTGCTCTACTCAGGGAGCTTATGGTTGCTTTGCTTTTGTGCACACAGGGCAGCACAACTACCTGTGTGCTGGGAGGAACGACTGCATAATTGACAAAATCCGGAGGAAAAACTGCCCGGCGTGTCGCTACCGGAAATGTCTGCAGGCTGGCATGAACCTTGAAGGTAACCGTGTGTCCACATCCCTGCTTTGGGTTGAAATCCTACCCAATACCCAGTAAAGGCCGGGCTGCTTAGGAAACAATGATTGGAGCAGCACTTTAATGTGTTAAAAGCAAGTGCTGCATTTCATGAGCATTTTAATGAGAGGCAGGAGGTTTTCGTGCTGTTTCTCCTATCTGTGCTCGGTTGCTCTGTCTGTCGGTATGTTCAGTAGAAGTGAGTCATACACACAAACCGGGATTATCTTTTATTCCTGTCAGCACATATATATGTATATATATCGTTGCTTTTTCATGGAATATATGAGACAGGAGAGTTCTTGGGGAACACCTGGAGGGAAATGAAACACCTGTAGGGAGATGTGCTATCTGCCCATCCTCACTCAGGAGAGTGACTTGACACTGAAACCAGTGGGGCAGGAGTGGCAATTATATCTTCAAACTGAAGAAAATGGAAGTATTTTTGTTGATGCTGTGGATTCTTCCTAAATACCTGTCAAAATCTCTCTAGAAAAGGTCGGTTAAGTAAATAAATTTAACGTACCAGTACATAGTTGTTCTCTGCTGAGTCCTCAATGGCTTGTGAGAATCTGAAGGCCATGTCAACTAGAGATTTAGAAGCAGTTGTAAAATGGCATAAAACACTTTTATTAGTGTCAGCTACGTTTTATGCTTGCTATTTTTCCATGAGCAGCAGAGATTAACACAGTACTTCCTAACACAGTTATCCGTGTGGTACTTGTAAAATGAAAATTGTCAGATAAAATGAAAATGTCAAAAATATATTTGTCAGCTCCCAAGGATGAACAGAATTCCATTTCAGTCAGTGAAAATATCCTTTGGTAAGATGTAAGTGGTGAATTAAGTTAAAAAGAGAGATGAAGCACATACTGGAGTCCATGTTAGCACGTCCTTTCTTCTTCCTCTGCTTCCAACCTCCTTCAGCAGGACGCAGCACCAGGTTTTCTGTGCTGCAGGTGCCTCGATCTGCCCCTTCCTTCAGAGCAGGGGGAACAAAGCTGAGGGTCTGCAGTGCTCTAAGACCCACTTACAGGCCCATCCCCTCCTTCAGGATGGAGATTTGCTGGAGGAAGGGATGTTGCTGCTGGGTTTGTTACCATGATCCGTGTGCAGGATGGGAAGGTACAGCCGAGATCTACAATAGTGGGTTCTAAAATAAATCCCTAAAGCACATGAGGTCATCAGTGAGTGTCTCCCAGGAGCTGGATTTAGATTTTGGGCACTCCCAGTGGGCTGGACCTCACACTTCAGAGATCAGAGCAGGACAGGTCTCTTGCCTACTCTGGATACCCACGGGGGACAGGTCACTGCCCTGCTGGGGCTGGTGTGGCTGGGAGGAAAAACAGGGAACAGCAAAGACTAAAGACAGTTTAAATGATGCAAAACCCCAGAGTTTTTGCTTTGAGTTGGAAAAGAATGAGTTTTGGTTTAAGGCTTGTTTCTGTTTTTATTCTTCACAGTTGTTTTCAAAATACATCTGTGATATTCATATATTTATTTATAAGAATAAAGCACTTCACTAGGTATAGTATTCTGGTAGCAAGATCTAGTGCTCTCATAGTAAGCCTTTTCCTTCCTGCATCAGTTTGAGTAGACACGGAATCAGAGAATCATGGAATGGTTTGGGTTGGGAGAGACTTCAAACTCATTCAGTTCCACTCTCTGCCATGGGCAGGGACACTTCCAGTAGACGAAGGTTTCTCCAAGCCCTGTCCAGCCTGGCCTTGACATGTTGAGTGGCCCCTCTGCAACAAAGAAAATGAAATGGAATGACATCAGATGTTTGCCACTTCTCTGCTTGTAGGTTGGAGCCCTTCCAGTGTAGTTTGTCTGAATTCTGGCACAGAGAATCCTAGAGAATAGTGAGGTTTTGGAGGATGGAGATTGTTATATAAGTTGCTGGAGAAGGGTGGGTTGGGGGGGAAGTTTTTATATCTGAGAGGGAAAAAGAGTCTTGAAACTCAGCAACACAAAAATGGAAGAACTTGGAGCAGTGTGAAAGGGTGAAAAACACCCTGAAAACAAGGATTTTTGGGACAGATCTGAACAGATGGGGAATAGGTCGTGCAGAAAAGCAAACTGGGAGGCAGCATAAAGTGCAGCAGAGACTAAAAAGCACTTTCTTTTATCTTGTCTATTTTAGGGTCACAGTTCAGAAATTACTGTTGTTTAAAAGAGAATTGAATTTGCATACTTTTTAGACAGTAATTTCTTTTTGACAAATCCCTTGCTGCACCCTCAGTGCATAAATAATGGTTATAGCAAACCAGTGAGTGACCAAAAGAGATCCCAATATCCAACCTGTCGGTTCTTCAGCCCCTTTCACTCACCTGAAGTGCTGCTGGACTTCTGTGAACCTGCCCCAGCACATACTGAGGGTTTCTCAGTTTCTAATACGCACAGTGGACTGCACTAATTTATTTTAAAATAAATTTTAAAAATCCTGACCTGTTACTGTCCTGAGATAAAAGTGGCTCCTTCTACCTTTTAGAAAAATATTACTTGCTGATTTTCTATTGGCTTTTTTTTATCACAGTAAGGTTGAAAAAGACCTCCAAGATCATCAAGTCAAGTCATCCCTTTGGCCCTGCTTATCACCCTTTTCTAGAATTTTCTTTATTCTATTGCATGTTTTTTTGGGCATAGGGGACTGGAAAAAAAAAAATCAAACTATCAAGCTGCAGGTACCAGAGAGTTACACAGCAGAATAATGATATTTTGTACTCCAGCCTTTATTTCCTTGAGTTCTCATTTCCGCTCCCACCGTTAATTGGTGTTCCTTGGCACCCTTTCTCTTTGCGATGTGTTGGAAGAAAAGATTTATTGTTAGGTTTTATGCCTGTAAAAAGTTGTCTCATAATTTTTTTGGCTTTTCATGCTGCTTTTTACAGCTAAACTTGGCAATTTATGAGTTTTTTCTGCAGTCTTCACTTGGAATTTATTTCAGATTTTTGAAGGATCGTTTCTTCTTTCTAATCCCATTCCTTGCCCTGCTGTAACCGCAGTGGGCTTGTTATAAATCGCAGTTCAGCAGGAAAGTGCCTGACTGTCTGGGGTGGTGGTGGCAGGTCCGTTGCCCACCTGGCTCAGGTGCAGGACCATCTGCCCACGGGGCAGGGAATAGGAAGCCTGTGCAGCCTGGGTGGATGCCAGACTGTAGGAGGTTGGGGGTGGTTTGTTTGTTTTTAACAGAAAATTTTGGATGCTTTTCTCTCTGTGCTGAGTTTATCTGTGGGGGTTATCTCCTGTAATGTGCCCTAAGGAGCTGGGGTTAAATTAGTGGTCTTTTTACATTTGAAAATAAATTATAAAGCAATACATTATCTCAACCTTCTTTTTTTTTGTGTGTGTTACAGCTATATATCTAAGTCAAGACTAGTAAAGCAGCCTAATAAAAATTCCTGCATAATAATTCGCCTTATCAGATATATTTATTTTGATTATAATTTTATTAGGCTTTCTGGGCTGGAAATACTCCATCCAGGTGTCTGCAGGAAGCTGAAGGCATGTGCTTCTAAATTTAAATCAGAGTAGTTCATTTGCTCCTCAGAACATGGATAATGGGGCAAAAAACAGCAGAATGTGGAAAGGATTTTGGAGCAGCCGTTTCAAAATTAAGACAATAACAAGAAGCTCTTTGCTCCAAGGAAATAACTGTTGCTGTTCCCCTACGGCAAGTTTGGCATATGTGGCCAGTCTGCAAATATTTGGGAAAATGCAATTTATGCAAGGTCTGTAGAGAATTCCTTGTGTTTAGCATTTGGTTTCTGAGGGCCGTGTTGTATCCAGTGAGTCCAGGAGGGATTTTCACGTGTTGTTACACTGCAGGGTTGGTGCATTTTGGATGCTGAGAGATTCTGAACGGGTCCGGAGGAACTTTGAATGTGAAACCACATCACGTGATGCTTTTATGGGCTACTGATTTATCTCAGAAGTTCCAGAGCAGAAATCAATTAATTAACTGAGGCACACAGGGAAAGAACTGGTTTCATTTGGTCTCTGTTAAATAGCATGTTCTGTGTGGCCGCCTCCATCCAGGAGAGCCAGAGCCAAGCAGGAGACTCCATTATGGACAAGATGCTAATAAAATTGTTGCTCCAAGTTTTAGTAGTTTACAGTTAACATCTCTGTGTGATGTTTTATTTATTTGGCGAATGAGTTTTATGGTTTAATTACGCAGCAGTGATTTATATGCAGGAGAAACTGGCAAGAGAAAAAGTTCCTCCTGCCCAGCATTTTCAAAAAAAAACCACCCTGTTTTCCCTGGCTCACCAGATCCAGTAATTTCTTACCCATTAAATTTATTTTTTTTCCTTTCTTTTGCCTGGTTCCTATACTTAATATCTTAAGGAAATGCAAATATTTCCAGTGGTAGGATTTGGCCTTGTATTTTAGGATCAGCCTTGTAAGGTACCTGCAGACATTACTGAACATTTGGAAACAGTAACATAAATGTGACTTTCATTAAAACAGAAAGCAAACTTACTTTCAATGGAGTCTCAGTTAGAACTCATGTGAAATTATTTACTTTATGCACAAATGCTGTGCAGGTTTCAGTGGCCTGGTCCCAGCTGCAGGGGAAAGGAGGGGAGAGGGGGGAAGAGGAGGGAAAGCAGCGTTTCCTCTGCTGCACTTTTACTGCTGTGTGGTCACTTTCCATCATCTCACCTGTGGCTTACCCAAACTTTCCTAGCTCGCAAAACAAAGAAGAAGATCAAAGGACTGCAGCAGGGAAGTGCCACGGGAACACGGGATGCTCCCGAGGCATCCGGGAACAAGAGCATCGTCCCCGCGTCGCTGCCGCAGCTGACGCCGACACTGGTGTCGCTGCTGGAGGTGATCGAGCCCGAGGTGCTGTACTCGGGCTACGACAGCACCCTGCCCGACTCCAGCTGGAGGATCCTCTCCACCCTCAACATGCTGGGAGGGCGGCAGGTGGTGGCTGCAGTCAAGTGGGCAAAGGCAATCCCAGGTAATGCACAAATATGTTAATTGCTGAGTGCTGTCTTCTTATGGCACTTAAAAATCTGTGTTTGTTTTCCTTCAAAGCTGTACAGGTGAAGTTTTAGTAATATCTGGGCTTGTTCGTGTCTCAAATGCTCCTGGAGTAGAAAAGTAGAAAAAAATGCAGATGCAGAAATGTGTTTGCTGCAAATTAGGTCATTTTACTTGAACACTTTGACTTTTGGATCCTAAAGTTCGTATTTAAATGGAGATTTGTTTTAAAAGTAATATAGAGAACTATTTTTATTAGCTCTGTGTCCACCTTTTAGATCACAGAATGGTTTGGGAGGGACCTTAAAGCTCAACGCCCAGCCACGGGCAGGGACAGCTTTCACTAGACCAGGTTGCTCCAAGCCCCATCCAACCTGGCCTTGAACACTTCCAGGGATGGGGCAGCCACAGCTTCTCTGGGCAATAAATAATTATTTCTTGAATATTTTTAGTAATTTTTAGACTTTACAGACCAGCACTGCTGTGCTGCTTCTCTGGGTCTGCGTTCATGGATGGTTATTTTTCACTCCCCTTCACCGTATCTGCAGTTTTTTCTTGACTGGGAACAGGTGTTTGAGTGTCGAATTCCAGGGTGGAAGTCAAGATGTTCATTTTCTCCCCAGCTCTGTAGCAGCAACAGTTAAACTGACTCTTACCTGGGGAAGGGGGGAGGTTTGTTGCTATTTTGGCTCCCACCTGAAGACACAGTTAGACACGGAAGGAGTGATGTCAGATCTCAGCCTAGAACATAACACATGGCATCTGTCTTGGGAGAGGCCAGCGCCAAGGATAGCTGAAGATCTGTTTATTCCTACAGAACAAAGGCCAGTGTTTTATGTCCCTCTCGCTCCTGTCAGTCCTGTTACCTACCTGTTACCTACTGTTACCTACCTGTTCTCAGAAACCCTGGCAAAAACACCTCCATGACGCATGTGTTGCCCAAAAATAACATCACAGAACAGGTCTGCCAAAAAAAAAAAAAAAAAAAAAAAAAAAAAAAAAAAAAAAAAAAAAAAAAAAAAAAAAAAATAAAAAAAAAAAAAAAAAATAAAAANATCATAATAGTGCCTCTTTGAGCAGAGGAAATAAATTAACAGTGAGAAAGAAAGTCTGGAAAACTCAAATATATCTGTAACCAGCAGATATGTGACTGGAGAGATTTGTGTGTGTTCCAGTTGACAAGGTGGTGATTGGTCACAAGTTGGACTCGATACCCTTGGAATTCTTTTCCAGCCTCGGTGATTCTGTGTCAAGGCTGTTCACACTGAGCAGTTACATGGGATTAGCTCAGTCTGCTCTAGGAGAGATTCACATGCACACACTTCCTTCTGGGACAGGTCTTTGAGAGACCATCTGGTATTCCCAAATCCAAATTTAGATTCCATTTTATAAAACACTTCTGTGTTCATCATCTCCGCTGAATGGTTTTCCTAATTAGTCAAACCCTTCAGGTTAGAGCATATGCTCTCAATGGAAATGCCAATCTTCTCTTTAATAACTACATTAATAGCAACTATTCTTATCATTTTTATCTCCTTTCTTTTGTTGGCTGAGGTGGTTCCTCATGAGTATTTAATTGTATATCCTGCTCCTGGTTGTAGCCCATCAGCCATGCTGATAGCACGCCAGCATTCCTTGCCAAATCCTTTCTCTGGGATTTCAGAATAATCTTTTCCTGAGGAGGGTTTGAGCACAGATTCAAGGTTTGACCCTGTAAGATTGGAATCACTTCGAAACCCTTTGTATTTTTGAAGCAGTACCTGGTTGTTCCTGCTGTCTCCAAAGCCAGGAGCTGTGTTTGAAGCTGTCAGACGAACCAAGTTTGTTCTGTATTCATCTGCTGGCTGCTGTCTGTTGGCACATCTTCAGGAAGCAGCTTTTTAGATGTTCTGAGCTCTTTAGATGTCAGATGCTTAATAAAATTAGATAAAATCAACTTGAATTCAGGCTCTAATAATGATTCAGTGTGGCACGATAGATTCCTGTTAAATGAAGGCAGGATCTGATAGGAACTTGTTGTAAATCCAAAGCTGCCAGCATTTTCAGAGTTTGAGGGACCAGTTGTCAGATTTTACCCATTTCCTCCTTGCTGGCTTGGCTCTGTTCATGCTGCATATGAGATCAGAAGCAGTTAATGCTGGTAACTAATGCAGTACTTATTTTGTAAGTTCTGTGTACAGTTGTTGAATAAGAACAAAATTTTACATTACGCCATTTATTGTCTGGTGGACTGCTCTCGGGAAAAGTAGCAAGCCCTGTTATTTTTGGAAGGCTGCCCAGTGAATTATAGTGTATATGAAATACAATAGTTGCCTCTATCTGACTGACCATCAGTTCCAGATAACCACATACACATATATTATGATTTTTAAATATTACATCCCCTTTTACTCCCTGTAGTGCCTATGCACTGATAACACAGCAGTTGTGCTGCTCATAACCCTGGTCCTTTTCCAAGTCAAGTTTCAACTGACACCACCACCCCCCAATTTTTATTTTTCTAGGTTTCCGAAATTTGCACCTGGATGACCAAATGACCCTTCTGCAGTACTCTTGGATGTTCCTAATGGCTTTTGCTTTAGGCTGGAGATCCTACAAGCAATCCAATGGCAATCTCCTGTGCTTCGCACCAGATCTCATCATTAACGAGTGAGTAAGACCTGCCACAGCGTTTCTGGGGTTTGCACTCAAGGGGTGAATCACTGGGTAACAAATCCTTGCTGAGATCCCAGATCTGCCTGTCATTTGCAACTTGTTTTTCTTTCAGCAGCTTGCTTAGCGTTTTTAACTTAAGTCAAATGAAAGAAAGGTAATTGAGATATTAAGTGTATTTATATCCAGGAGTTTTTGTGGGAGGTGTTTGGGCTTAAATGTTCCATATTGTGACTGTTCCAGCACCATTCACTAGAATCATTCATGTTATCAGAACCGACACAGTCAGAGCTAAAAATATGTTTGGGATGGAGAGAAAATTTTGGCAAATTGCATAATGTTCTGTCTGTTCAGTGTATAAAAGTGGCAGTATGGTCCTACCAGTTTCCCAGAGTTCCTGATTCCTTAAACATTTCTATCTGATCCTGATTAAAGTAGGGCTGAGAAGACAAGTTATAAGTGGAACAACCTGCCTGATTTGTATTTTCTTGTTGAACTTTGTTATCAATTTTCAAGCAGAGTTGAATTTTGTGGAATATTTGGACTTGTATTTTTCTTGCACCACACATCATTATCCTTGTATTTTTCCATATTTGTGTTGTGAAGTAACTGCTGTAGAGGAGGGAAAGAGGGAATTTGGGATTGTTGAAGTGATTGCATCTAATTGATGTCTCTGTTCCCTGGCCTTACAGTGGAGGCAATACAGTTGGCATGCTTTGACACAGTCAAAATATTTTTGGTTCTGTTGCACTTCAGAATCAGATCTCCCAGATATTTTCCACGTTTAAAAAAAAAAAAAACATAATTGTTGCGTTTTCTGTGGGATCAGCCATTTACATTTCACACGATTCCTTTGTCATGTTTATTTATTCCCTTCCTCTATTTTTTACTCAGTGTAAATATTTATTCAGACTTCTATGAACTATAATCATTACCTTATAATATTAACTTTAGGAAAAAGGTGTGGAGGAGATGGCAGGTGAAGGCCCATGTGTGTACTTGTTGTTTATTAAAGTGCTTAGAATGTATCTCTGGAGCAGAATAGTGTCTATGTGGTGAAACTGAAATAATTGATGTTGTCACTAAGTGTAACAGCATCTACTTTGCCTTACGTCAGAGGTCTCCTGCTGTTTTATCAGTGAATCAAAACCACAGATCTTCACAGCCAGGTGTTGATACTCTTAAAAAACACAGAACTGCAAGGCTAACCCTGTTATAGCAAACAGTAATTCTCAGATTCCTTCCAGTTACAGTTTGGTACATAAATTGTAGATCAGAATGACATTTGTTTTCAATAAAACACATTGACTGAGAGAACTGCAATTTCTTTTCCAGTGGGCTACAGGTTCTCCATAAAACTCTCTGGTCATAACTTTTTATGTCCCATCCCTCAGTATAAAACAGAGCCACCTCGGAGTTCAACGTGGCAAACACTGACTAAAAATAAAACCACTGCAGGAGTTGTGAGAAGGTTTCGGAGCAGGGAAAGCTGGAGGGGCACCTGAGGCTGGGATATTGGGCTGGACAGGAGAGGCATCCTGGGCACTTAAGCAAAAATGGACTTGGATTTTACTGCAAGAAAAAAAATGCCCTTGGATTTGAATGATCAAATGTGTCCACATAGGATAGATCAGGTAATAGTTGGTATCTGACAGTGGGGCAGGACAATAACACAGACCAGAGCGTGCAGAGTTACTTCCATGGTTACAGAGAAGTGCAGTTACTTCTGGTTTAATTTTTGGGTTTCTAGAAATCATTCTTTCAGTTTCTGAACTTTAAAGCCTTGTCATCCTATTAGGTACAATTCAGTGTTTTCAGCTTCAGGAAGGGAACTCCCATCTTGGAAGGGACTCCAGGCCTTGGTGGTTCAGTTGGACCTAACTGCAAAATACTTTTTTAAGATTGATTTATTTATGGGATTAATTAGACTTCCTTTAGCTTCATATATCTGCTTAAGCATCTGAACAACATCAGTCTTCCATGGATTTATCCTTGTGCCAGCCCTGGCCAGTATCATCCTGTGTAGTTACTGTTTACTTACATGGAGTAGCAAGATCAGGTAGCTCGTGCAGTCTGTGATGGGAAAGAGGATTAAATTCTGTTCTTCTTAAATCTTAGGATGGCAGCTTAGCCATTTACTCAGTCTCCTCCTAAAAATTGAATATTTATTGAATATTCCACTTTTATGTCTGTACTCTTATAATTTATTTATTTTTTTAATGGAGATATGTCTATACTAGCTGATAATAAATGTGTTCACACACAAAACTCAGTTTAAGTTGTTGAAACATGGCAGCTGACTAAATCTTAGGCTTTAGGCCATTATTTACTACTTGGAAATGGTTTAAACCTGTGATTTTGCAGTATTGTATAACTGTTTCCCCAGTCTGTGATTCAAAACATGCCCTGCTGGAACTGGCACTGGTGCAGTATCAGCTTTTGGCCTCTAGGTATGTCACAGTGTGCCCAAAATTACAGTGAGCACAGTGACAGTGCACAGTCGTGTTCATCAAGTAGCAAATTCCATTTAAGTGCTGCCCAGCTTGAGAAAGAAGTTCCTGGAAGTCCTGGGTCTCAGGATTTTGACTCCAGTTGCATGTTCACCATCACAGCTCCTTGCTCTGAGGTGTGAGGTCACTTCCATGGTCTTGTTTGTCCTTCGAATCTCATCTGTCATACAGAATATCTGTATTGATGTATTTGATTAGAAAAATAATCAGTGATTACAGTTTTTATAAGCAGTGTTTTGCCAGTTCTCTTATTCCCCAGATTTTTTCCCCAGTGCTCTTCTATAACTCCTTCTGTGGAGTCAGTGTCATCTGGTGTTCAGAACACCAGTGTCTTGTTTACTGGGTTTTAGTCTTTCACAGACTTGACTGAACTGAGTGACTCACAGCAGTGTTGAAAACCCATCACGTGCTTTTATCATCCACACACGTCCCCCAGAGCAAGCACACGTATATCCATGTGTTCCATGGGCTGGGCTGAGCTGGAACACCACCAGTGCCCCTTGGGGAGCTAGTCCCTAAAGCAGAGGGGTATTGGATACTTACAGAGCAAGGAGGAGATTCAGGTTGGACTCAAATGTGCCATCACTACAGTAGGATGCCTTCACAGTGATCAAATGCTGTGCCAGTCACCTCTTTGAGCCTTTTTATGTGTCTGGCAGCAATTGCAGAAGCCTTGAGCTGCTGTGGCCCTGCCAGTGTCCCTGGGGAGCTCCTGAGGCTCCGTCTGGGCTCAGCAGCTCCTGAACTGCCATGGGGTGCAGCTTCCCTGGGATTGCTGGTCCTTGGTATCCCAGAGCTCTGCTTGAGAGCCAGCATGGTTCTGTGGGTAGTTTTAGCTAAGAAGGAAGCACTTGTGGTGCCCTCACTGAGTAGTACAATGCCTATTTTAATTAAGTATAGCACTGAGTTGAAGCATTACATCTGGTCTGTGTGTGGGTAAATTAATCCATGGAGGTGGTAAATGGGCTGTGCAGGGAGGGGAACCAGGATCCTGGGCAGGCAGGGAGAGAGCCCCGAGCCCTGCCCTTCTCCGGGTCTGTGTCCGTGACCTGAGCCCTGTCCCTGGGCAGGCTCCCTGTGGCAGCTGAGATCATCTGATGTGCCCTGGCCAGGAGATCTGAGATGGGAATGGCTGGGACCTCTTCCCAGAGCATCTGCCAGCATTAAGGACGAGGCAGTGAATCAGCCTCCTCGTGCTCTGACACAGCCAGATCCGCAGCCTCCGGGGCACAGGGCAGAGCTCATCTGTGTGCTCAGACCTCGCTGAAGGGAGGGGGCTGTGCCTGCTCTCATTTTTTGAGAGCTACAGTTTGCATAGCCCCGGTACTGCCCAGGGCTGGCATGTCTTCCTATGGATTCTCAGCCTTGTGGGTACGGTTGCATTTACAGCAGACAGAAACAAACGACAGGCTGACCCATTTCATAATGTTTATTTTAACCTTCTGCCCAGAAATGGGCATAGTTTTACGTGAGGAAAACTGCTGAGCCCTGTCAGAGAATGTGTTTAAATTACTCAATTTCAAATCTCTGAGATGCCCTTTGATACGGCCCGGAGGGGTCAGGACAGCATTTGCCAAGCAGCCAGATGGTGGCTTTGTGTCAAGTGCCCTGAGAAACATCCCAGAGCCCAACATTGCACTTACTCCTGTTTCAAGCAGCTTTACCTTGTGTGCACTTTATATTTGTTCTGCTACTCCTTGATTATGGAATCTACTGTAAGTCCAGTGTTTCTGGGTTCGTGTGCAAGCCCACAGACTGTAGCTGTAGATGGAAGGCACTGTCCTGTTCCACTCGGAAGGAATTGTTCAACATCTCCGTTTGGAAACAGTGGGGTTTTACATTTGTGCTTGTTCTAGTTTAATACTGTTTCAGTAGCTTGTATTTCTATCTTTCAAACCCCTTTGGAATTCCTGTTCCCTCTGGTTTATGCACCTTCAGGAAGGTGTAGTTCTTCTTTCCAGTCAGGGTTTTTTAAGATGCTTGTGAGGGTGCATTGCATACTCCTCCTGCAGGGCTAGGGAAGGGAGAACAGAAAACTGATCAGCTTTGCAGGAACTGTAGTTTCATAACCAAATCTTACTTTTAACTTTCACAGGGATCCCTTTTTGTCTCTGTGTAGATTTTAATATTGAATAGGTGATGACTTAGGAAAGGTGACACATCGCTAATGAGAAATAAAGTGCTGACATCACTGCAGAGAGACTCACTGCATGGGAAACATTATTTTGCCTGTCTTTACAAAACAAAAACATGGAAAAGCATAAATCTGTCTTACCCTCTTCAGAACAAATCTGTTCTCCTTCATTTCCCACCCAAAACTAATTCTGCAGTATTCATGGTACCCATCTGTAAAAGGGGATTGTTGTGTCAAATGAGGTATTACTAAATAAAAGGAGGAGTTCCCGTCTTGATGCAAGGTTTCATTGAAATGGGGGGAAAAACCTGAAAAGAATATATGAAAACATAATGTATTTTTCTGATTCCAAGATTTTCCTTTGGTTGTCAACATGGCTTTCTATTTATGGTTAGAAACTTGATTATTACACTACAAAGGTAATGACATTTAATTGCAGTGCTAGTCATCACTTCATGAATGTGAAAGGATACAAGTGTAAAAAATTTGAGAAGTTACAGAAAGTTGCTGCTGTCAGTAGTGAGGAAGTATGTATTAAATTGGGTGCACTTTGCAAAAGTATTGAAAGAATTAGAGAAATCTCTGTCACACCGTGAGCGAACTCGATTTTTGTGTCAAGTTTGTGCTGACGTCTGTTGATAACAGAGCTTTGCTGACAGTCCTTGGTAGAGACAGGCTCCCTTTGTGGCGCTGGGATTCAGCACGTCAGGCTGCCTCGTTCCGCAGTGCTGGGCTGGTGTTTATCTGTGTAACCAAGGCAATCACCTCAGTGGGCTCACGAGCAGAGGGAGCGTCACTTCGCTGTGCGATGCCTCACGTACAGCTTATCGTCTGCCTCTGCACCCCCCGCTGCTCTGAGCACAGCGTGGAAGCCCAGAGATGTAGAACTTCCAGGTACCTGGACATGTCACTAATTTCTGTGCTTTTACTCCTCAGGCAGAGGATGAATCTCCCATGTATGTATGAACAATGCAAACACATGCTTATGGTTGCCCGAGAGCTCTCACGGCTTCAAGTCTCCTACGAGGAGTATCTCTGCATGAAGACATTGCTTCTCCTCTCTACAAGTAGGTGAACAGCTCAATTCTGAACTCTTGGCATTTATATCTACAAAAGTATGTGGTGGACTTGCAGTAGATACTGTAAGATAGATTTATTTAATATGCTGCATGATGGTTTTTATCTTTCAGTAAGATATGCTGGAATAAAGTCACAGCTTAGTAAAATTCTGGCTGTACTGCATGAAAGGTCAAGTGTGGTGTTACAACAGTCCTTTTAGAGTATACAGAAATAAACTAATATGAGACAACATAACTAGTACAGGTTACTGTGTGTAAATAACTTTTACAGTGTTATTTTTCCCCTCTGTTGAAATCACTGTTACCCAGTGACTTCGTTTTCCCTGTGCTCTGTGGGGCTGTAGCTCCCTGAGGATCTCAGCTGCAGCCCTGGCTTGGCTGCAGTCCAGGGACTCACCCAGCAAGGAGCACGTGTGTGTGTGTGCCGGGAGTGGGTGTGAGCCGGGCACCTCGCCTCACACCAGGAAAGCCTGTGCCTGTGTGTCCTGGGAAATCCCATCCCACGGCCGTCGCGGCGATCCCTGCAGTCCCACGGGGCTGAGGGAGCTGCCGACGTGCTCCTGCTTCTGCTTGTCAGATTGGTTTCAGTTCAGTGCAGTGACAGGTGCCAGCAGGCTTGGGAAGTAGCAAGAGCAGCAGCGGATTTTTCAGCGTAGTACTTCTGCATCAGCTTCATCGGATGGTTTGGGTTGGAAGGGGCCTTGAACAGGATGAAAAGTAAATACTATTGAGTTTAAAGAGTTCATTACACAGAGGGTGTAAACATTCCTTATCTCTAGTATTTCCAGGGAATAACAGCATTAATTCTTACAGAGAAATGAGAACTTGTTCACTTTGGTCTTTTCCCTGATAGGAGCAGGAGGAATGTGCACCCCAGCGCTGTCCACGTACAGGGCAGTGAGTGATGGGTGTGGGCAGGGGCACTGCGGTGCCGTGGCCAGTTCCCCCCAGTTCGGTGCCTCAGGAGTGGTGTGGGGACCACTGGGCTGCCATGGCCCATTCCCCCCAGGCCCAACACCCCATCAGCCTGGCAAGGCCCAGCACGGCCTCACTGCCAAGCCCGGAACTGGAACAAGGGCTCTTTTCACAGGAAACTTTCGGCCTCTCACAGCCGTGGGCTTTGTAGGAACTTAAAACCTCCCCAAAAACTGCAGATTTAGAACATTTTCTGGTTGATTCTGAAATCTCTCCCAAAAATTCCTTGAGTGTTTCTGGTGTGGTGTAGGCCAACTTTCCTTACAGGAATTGGAAATTTCCTTAGAGAAATTTCCATGGCAGAAGTGGTGACAAGGCAGCACTGGCAGATTTCGACCCATTCAGGAGCAAGGCCAGGCAGGCCTCTCCATTCGATTTACAGTGAAAGACAATATATCTTCATATTTTGTTGAGTACATACATTGTGTAAGTGGTACATTGTGGAACTTCTGCAAATTGAATGACTGAAATTTGTACAGCTCTTTAATCCACGACTTTGCAATTTTAATTGGTTTATTGTGTTTCTGTGTTAAGTTTTCCAAGAGAAGAGGAGGAGGAGGAGTAAAACAGGAATCCCACACGGGTCTGGACATGTAGCTCACACACAGACATAGCTCACAGACCTTTTACGTGTGAATTATTGAAACAACAGATGACTTGTTTCATCTCCTGCATAGGCAAGGCAGACAAGAGACTTCAGCATCTCTGAGAAGCTGACAGTGCAGCGAGGGTTGAATTTTCTGAGAAGGGGAATGTGCTGTATGACCTCTGTCCTCTCTTGCTTTCAGTCACTTTTGTCTCAGCTCTTTCTCTTCTCTGTCTTCAGCTCTTTCCATTCATTTCACCAAGGCAATCAAAAGCTTCAGAGGAAGGATGTTACGGGCCACTGAGTCCATGTTCTCCTTTGTCTGGGTTAGTCCTTGGCCTTTAAGGAGGACCATCCTCATAGGAGGATGTAGGCACAGGGACTTAACCTGGATTTGAGTCCCCACACCTTGGGTTTCTGACCCCCAGATCCTCATCTGCCCAGCACTACCTCCATTTCCCATCCCTATTCCAAAAAGCTCTGTCCATGCCCCGGTTCCTCCATGGCTTGGGCAGTCAGGTTGTTGTCCAGTCTGTCAGTCCTTGCCTGGACGCGTTACTTGATCCATGTCAGGAGGCTTGGAACTAGATGATCTTTCAATATCCTTTCTGAGCCAAGCCATCCTGTGATTCTGCCCTTGCTCTTCTGCTGGCATGCAGAATTTTTATGGAGTCTTTCTAATGTCACGTTTCCTCAGGCATGGAGAACACGAGAGCTCCAGTCCTGATGGTTCTTCATCAAGGCACTTCCAGGCCTCCATGGACTGATCCCTTCCCTCTTGGAGGGATACCTTTGGGGGTTTTAGTTTTACTTTGCAGGAGTCCTGTGCTTTTTGTTCAGCTAGTCATCAGTCCCAGTTCCTGCTCTTTCCTTGTCTCTCTGCTGTCATTTCAGTCAATTCAAGCCCTTTTTCTTCTGGTCATTTTCATAGAGTCACAGACTGGTTTGGTTTGGAAGGGACCGTAAAGCTCATATCATTCCAACCTGGCCTTGAACACTTCCAGGGATGGGGCAGCCACAGCTGCTCTGGGCTGCCTGTGCCAGGACCTCACCACCACATCACAGGGAAGAATTTCTTCCATATTTCTAACCTAAATTTCCCCTCATACTCCTCGTCCTATCACTACAGTTTCTGATGTAAGAGAACTTAAATAGTGACACAGTTCATAGTTTTATAATGTCTTAAAGGTTCGTATCAATGTTACAGTTCCCAAGGAAGGCCTGAAGAGTCAGTCTCTGTTTGAAGAAATCCGGATGACGTACATCAAGGAGCTGGGCAAGGCCATCGTGAAGAGGGAAGGGAACTCCAGCCAGAACTGGCAGCGATTTTATCAACTGACTAAACTGCTGGACTCTATGCATGATGTAAGTCCTGAAAGGAATGCTGTAGGCATTCCAGATAAATACGTTGGGGCGGTGACAGTGATCTCCTCTAGGCTTTTATTATTTAAAGGGATAAATATCGCGGGGGAGGAGGAGGTCATGCCCCCCTACTGTCTAACTAAAGGTGAATTGACAGCCGTGAACCTGCTGCTCTCAGGCTACTTCTGCAGTGGAATCCACAGCAATTAACTTTATAATTCATTTAATTTTCAGCCTCTTTCGTTTTTAAAAATTATATTGCTTTAAAATGGAGGAACTCAGAAACTGTAAGTGATTTGCAGTAGTAGCAGAGATGTGAAGTTTAAAACCTACGTTATCTCAGAGACAACTAGTAAAGAATTCATGGAATAGTTCGAAATAGCACTGAAGTAATTCCTCAGAGCAGGAACTCATTTGGCTAGGAATTTCAGAATTCAGTCTTTCTCCTTTGGCAATTTAATTCAAAATTACACAGAGCAATCCAAGCAGTGTTTAAAATGGGAAACTTTGGGACCTCAAAACTACTGTTTTTTATTTCGTGCTGTACCAGGCACCTGAAAAGACCTAATTAAGCTTATTCATGTGTATGTCACTTATCTGCTGGAATGGGAATTGATACCAAATCTCTTCGGTGTTTGCATCTGTTCGTTTGGTTTATATTGGAGTGCCACTGACAAGATTTAATTAATAAATGAGGATACCTGTGCCTGTCCTGTTGGAGCAGGAGGTGCTGGGTGGGTAGGGTTTGTGTGGGAGGAGGATGGATGTGAGTGGTTCCTCTGTACATCTTCGTGTGCGAGTAATTCTTTGCCTTATCACTTGTAGGTGGTTGAAAATCTCCTGAGCTTTTGCTTCCAGACATTTTTGGATAAATCCATGAGTATTGAGTTCCCAGAAATGTTGGCAGAAATCATCAGCAATCAGATACCAAAATATTCCAATGGAAATATCAAGAAGCTCTTGTTTCATCAGAAGTGACTGCCTTAACACAAAGGGTTGCCTTAAGAAACCGTCACTCGATAGCTTTGTTTTGTAAAGAGAAAACCTACAGAACTTGTTCCTTTTGTCCTCGCAGCGGTGTTTCTTTTGTAATTATGCACTACATGTGGTTTACAGAGGGCCAAGAGTTAGGCTGGAGAAGCAGTGGATTTCTCCCATTTGGGAAAGAACTGGGGAGAAAGGAAAGGCAAAGAAATCATAAATCGTATCTGTAAGAAATTTTCTCTCTCCCCTCGTGCACCATCCCCGGATGCATCAAACCACCGGTGACAAGCTCTGAGGCTGTTACGAACATTCTGCTAATTAATTAATTGCTGCAGTTGGCTGGAGACAATTTTTTAGGCTTTTTGTTTTTGTTTTTTTTTTATTTTAGTAAAGTGTTTTGGATTTTTTTTTTTTTTTTAAAGTTAAGGTAGCATTTTGGTTTATGCATGTAACCTGAAGAAAGTTTACAAGTGTATATCAGAAAAGGGAAGTTGTGCCTTTTATAGCTATTACTGTCTGGTTTTAGCAATTTCCTTTAACTTTATATACCGTGAACTCGGCTTGTTCATTTTTTCTTACATAATTTTTTTGTAATACTTCAAGATGCCTATTGTACAGCTGGTTTTTTAAGGTGGGGCAGCTCGTAGCTTTCCTAAATGACCTCTAGACAGTAAATCCTCGAGTAGATTCATGTGAAAAAGGGTTGGGCTTTTCTAACCTAATCGCTTTCAACTGTCAAAGCGGCTACAAAAATTTGGCTTTTTTTAAGGGCCAGGGTGGGTGGGAGAACACTCTCAAATCTCATTTCAGAAGATCCGAATGAAACAAATCCTTTTGGTATATTGCAGAAGTGTTGGATATGCAGATTCATAGAAAATTAACCCAGTCCTCACTGGATGTAAACGAGCAGGTTATTTTATATATTGAAAAAAAAAAAAAAAAAAAAAGAAGCCTGATTTTTGCATATGATGCAACAGCCATAACGCAAAGAGTCATGGGCTGCATTGATGCCAAGAAGATCAGTCCTGACTGCCCATCAGGAAATTTTCAGGAAAATATGCATAGCTTCAGAAAAGTTTACTACTGTGTGGAGAAACTCACATTTTCTATACACTTAAACCTGTCATCACACGAGTATATCTGGAAACCCCCACGGACAGAGGAGGTGGACATGTGATTGCACCCAGTGGTTTGGGTTTGTTCTCCTGGACGGATTCCAGAGTCCTCCTCTGCGGGGAGATGTCCGAGCGGCCGCACGGCTGTGACTGGATATCCCAGCTCCAGACTCACCTGGTTAGAGACCCAATTCCACATCTCCACCTGTCACTGACTGCTCCATCCTCTTTCCTGGAGAACAGGAAAGCTCCGCTACTGAGTTCGTGGTCTTAGAGTTGTCCGTCAAACTTTCTGTCTTTGTAAGGCTGCAGCCCTTCACACTGAATTCCTGGCGTGCCATAAATTCCCATAGGCCTTGTGGATTTCTCCTTGTTGCCATTGATAAGGATATTTTCCGACGTTTAGAAGCTGTAGTAGCCTTTTCTACGTGCACCTTAACAATTTTCTGTATCTCAAAATTGAAATATTTACTAAGCCACTCTAAAATTTGATTTTTACTCAAAGTGGCCAGATTATTTGTGTAATAGAAATGAGAAAGATCATCTGAGAAAATACAAAACCTAATATATTTTTATATTTAGTTATAGTTTCAAATATGTATAATCGGTATATTCGCTGATCCGAGAAAAGAAGGGAAGGGCTACTGCAGCTTTAAAAGCAATTTATTAAATGATTGTAAAATAGCTTGTATAGTGTATAATAAGGATGATTTTTAGATGACAGATTGCTTTATCATGATACATGTAATTATATTTTTTGTAGGGGTCACAAATATGATGAGTGGGAACCCGTTCTGTGTGGTTTGGCTGGAGGCAGCACCGGAGGCATCGGTGTTCGTATCCAAAGAAGTGCTTTGTTCAGAGGGGAAAACCTGTGCTCCGTGGGTGTTTGTAGGGTTGGGTTTGTGTTTATTGAATCACTGTGTAAAAATTCCTGTTGGCTTTGGGGTGGGATGCTCCTATCTGTATGGTCGGGAACTGCTCCCGAGGCATGGCTGAACCAGAGCCCCGCTGCAAAAACCGTCAGCCAGGACACCCAGCTCTGAACTCCCCCCGGGGGAATTTCATACACAGCCTCACTCCCACAGCAAAAACAGCTTCAAAATTGGGCAATAATCCACATCCAGGTGCCAGCAATATGTAAATAGAGAGCATGGGGTGTCCACAGCACATTTCTACTTTTCAGCAAACATTGGTTTCCAACTGAAATAGGAAACTCAATTCTCCTTTCTTAAATCTCTTTTTGAATGCTATACCTATTAAAAAGGATCCTATATTCAGTACTTTGGAGTAAAATAGCACCTTTAATAAAAGAAAATAATCATTCTCTCCTTTGATCTGTACAAAATATGTGCATTTTTTAACCGTTAAAGGTCAGATTTTTTAATTATGACATCCAGCCCAATTCCATGGGAATCCTCACGCGCCCGCTTGCCATACAAATACAGATACAGATAGGAGTTTGGTGCTGTTGGGTTTTGAGGGGGCTCTTTGGTTCAAAGGAAACTTGTTCTTACTTTTGAGAATGTTTTATAAACTTGTATCCCCAGAGCCCTCGGTCGGAGCCTGGGGCACAGCGCGGGTCGGGGTGCACGGACCCCAGACTTGGCATTTTTGCCAGCAAAAGCAACTGCAGTTAACTCCAACAGATGATGATGGAGTTGGGGGTTGGAACTGGATGAGCTTTAAGGTCCCTTCCAACCCAAATTCTGGGATTCTGTGATCCCCCCGTGAGAGAACTGGTCACGTAGGAGGAGAGGCTCTCTGCCCCTTGTGTCTGTTTGCCTGTATATTCATTTTTAGTCTGTGGATTTAAGGAAAAACAAAGGAAACTGTGACGTTAGAGAAAGAATCGTCCTGTACGTGCTGTTCAGTTTTAAACTTCACCAGTGAGAAAACGTAGTGCTTTAGTCAGCAGTGAGAAGTCCATGTCCTGTTATCCGTAGTCCGTGTAGCAGTGGGTAGTCCCTGCACTCTGGATAAAGCAGGGAGAATTCTGACTTTGGCTCTTCAGTGCCTTATCACAAAGTGCACGGATCCGCCCAGGGACGGCGGGGGCAGCTCAGGACGCGCCGGGCGCTCGCAATGGCCTTACGGGGGGACACCGGGACAGGGGGGCGCTGGGGGGCCCACCATGAGGGAGGGCAGAGGGAGGGGGGCTGGGAATAGGTGCCAATTGATGCCGAAAAATGACCTCGCCATTTTCACAGAGGGAGGTAGGAAAGAGGAGGAAGTGCCTGGATGGACGTTGGCTGCGGGAGCGTCCCGTAGTCAAGTTTTAGCGAGGGAGGACTTCAGGGACATGACTTAGAGTGAGATTTTATAAAGATTGTATTATTATATCCCTGGAAGTGTTCAAGGCCAGGCTGGATGGAGCTCTGAGCAACCTGGTCTAGTGGAAGGTGTCCCTGCCCATGGGTTGTAACGAGATGGTCTTTAAGGTCCCTTCCAACCCAAACCAGTCGGGGATTCCATGATTATATACCAGTCACGCTCTATCCTTCGCCCAGTCTGCAACCAGGGGTTGCTGAGCCATCAACATCACATAGGAACCAAATTTTCCAGGAAGGTCGAGAGCCTCTCCAGACAGAGGCCTCGTATCCAAGGAAAGGCTGTGTGTGTGTGCTTGTGGTAAACAGCCCACCTCCAACAACTTGCACAACAGCAGAGTCCAGCGATGGGTCATTACTCTATTTTGTATATTAAACAAAAAGATATATACTGGGGACGAATCCTATATCATACCGGTGTATGGCATTATTAAAAAAATCATTATTTTTATCACAGCAATTTTAAACAGCATAAAAGAAAAGAAAAAAATTAAACCAGTGACTCCTGTTTAAAAATAAAAGTTGTAGTTTTTTATTCATGCTGAATAATTCTGTAGTAACAAGTCTGTAGTTTTCACCTACTCAGTGAAATGTTGGACTGTAAAAGCTTGTGTGGAATTGTTGAACATTTATTTTTTCATTTAAATTTGCTGTTCTGGTAATACAAAGCCACACATCTGTACAGAAGTTGCAGTAAATGTGAGCCATTTACAGCAATGTCGAATAATGGACAGAAACCATATAATAAAATTCTGCTTTTTTCATTAAATGGCTCCAAAATGCTTTTGTGGAGTTTTTGCTGTGGTCCTGGAGAGGGTTGGGTCCGAAAGGGAGTCGGTTCATTTGTGTTGGTCTCATTATTCTCCTCATATGCAGGAATCATTTGCACTGGAGTGAATTGCTGCTGTAGAAGTTCTGGAGCAGGAGAATTTCTGATCATGAAGTTCAAATTAACAATTTAATTGGAAATCACATGTTTTGCCTTTGCATTCTGATGTCTGTTTTTCTGGAGGAAAATCAGCACCATGGTTCTCTAATGTAATCCAGAGCAGGAATGTGCCTTGGAGCAGCCTGACCTGTGCCCACCTCAGAGAAGGGCTGAAGCTGCCGGGACAGTTCAACTGAGGAAAACAGCACAAAATGTTTTATAACTAAATAAAGAATTGATTTAGGTTCCCAGAACAGCTGCAGCTGCTCCATCCCCAGAAATGTCCAAGGCCAGGTTGGATGGGGCTTAGAGCAACCTGGGATAGTGGAAGGTGTCCCTGTGCATGGCAGGGGTGGGGGGGGGGGACAAGAGGAGTTTAAGGTTTCTTCCAACCCAAATCACTCTGTAATTCTATGATTTAAAATAAATTTTGTCACTGCAGTGGTTCTCAACTACCTGATATTTGTCAGAGTGTGATGAAAGCTCCTTCCCAAGGCAGGTACTCAATGCCAAAAATTAGTGATAGAGGGAAACAAAATGTGCTACAAAGTCTTGGTGATTGCCTGGGGGAGAAGGTGTGGATTGGGGCAGGGATCCTGGGCAGGGTATGGGTTATGGGAATCCAGCCTAAGGGGTCCTATGCAGCAGGATTATACCTTCCCAAAGGCAGGATTTAACTCAAATTGTGAAAAAGGACTTCCTGTGTCAGCAACACTGAAAGGTGCCTCTGTCTGGCTGTGGCAACACTGCACTTGGTTCCAGAAAGTCTCAGCCCCAGAACAGAAAATGCTGCCATGAGGTTCCTTCCCTGCCATGTGGCCATTGGAGTTTTCAAATGTCAGTGTCTCTCCAACCCGTCAATAACTCAAACCTCAGCACAGCTCACGCCTTCACCCCCTGAGCAGCAGAGTGAATCATGCTGTAATAAAATCTCACTTAACTGCAGCGTAAAAGGCCGAGTTCCCAGCAGGGAATGATTTCTCTGAATTGTTTGCAATTAAAACAAAGCTTACATAAATTTCCCTTCATTAATTCCCAAGCTGGATGGCTGTGGATGGGGGTCAGAGGCAATACAAGAACGGGATTTATGATAACGACGTTGATTCGTGAAACAATTGTGGAAAGATTCTTTAAAGAGCGACATCAGATATTAGGATAAAATAACGGCTCTGTGGCTCATGAGCTCCAGCTTCATGGCTAGTGCATCAAGTCCTCGATGTGTTCACGTTCCACATGAAATCCCACTTGCCCCATTCCATCTATGAAATCATTGACATCAAAAACATCTGTGGAGCAGGTTCTGATTCCTTGCAGGGTTTCTGCCCCTCCTGTGCTCTGTCCCACCACGCTGGCCATGGCTGGAGCGTGGCTGTGGTGCTGCCCTGCCCCGGTAGGGTGGGTTGGGGGCCATGGAGCTGCAGCCCTTCCTCACCTGCTGCCTTACTTTGCAAATAGTTGCTTTCTGGAGCTCTATCCTTAGCTTCCAAGAAATTCGGATGAAGCCCAGCATGAGATGGCAACTCATGATTTCTGTTTTGTTCACATTATCCCAATAAAACGATGGCATTTCAGACTGGTTTGGAAAAGACGCCATTAAATGCCATTTTTACAATTTCGACATTTAAGATTTGAGCTCTTGAGTTCGTGTTTGTCCCTGGGATGGTCCCCAACAGGCCAGTTTGTCCGTGGCTGTCTCCCCACTGCAGTGGGAGCTCGCAGAGCTGTGCCATGTAATGCACAAATACTGGGATTCTGCAGAACAGGACTCATTGGCTGTAAATTACTGGTTATTCCAGAGGGCCTCCCAGAAGTTCCCAGTGTTCTTATCATGATACCATCAGGGACTAGACTGGGAGGGAACCCAGGACTCTGCAGGCTCAGGTCCTGCAGTGCTGCTGTAGGGATCCAAACCATTTCAAGTCCCTAAATCCAAGATGTAATCATGCCTTCAGATCCAGCTGGTCCTCATTCCAGGGATGTCTCTGCTGGTACCTGTGCCCATCTTGGCACCAACTGGATGCTAAACTGCACAAGGGCACTGGCCAGATCTGTTTCATGGAACCACAGACTCATTTGGGTTGGAAGGGATCTTAAAGCTCATCTCATTCCACCCCCCTGACATGGACCTGAACACCTTCCAGTAGATCAGGTTGCTCCAACCTGGCCTTGGACACTTCAGGGATGGAGCAGCCACAGCTTTTCTGAGCAGTGGGGTCATAGGCCAACAAGTTTGATTCGTTTCCTTATCAGGGTTACAGATAATTTCAATTATTGGCAAACTTGAAAATAATATATCGACTGCATGTCCATTTTAAAATAAAAAAAGTGTAAATATTGAACTTGTCAAACTGAGACTGGAGGGAGAGGAACCCTCTGAAGAGATTAGAAGTTCACTGATGTCCAGTGTCCGAGTCCATGGAAAAGCGGATAAAAATCAACCTGGAGGAGGGGTAAATATCCTTATCCAATCCATCACAGGCCTGGCACATCTCCAAAGCATAATTAAGGATATTCTCCGAGGTCACAACAGGGAACTTCTGAGTTTAAAAAATAACAAGTAAGTGGAGTCCTTCTAATTATGGGATCTGCTGATTTGAGATCAAACCACATGAAAAGGTAGGGGGAAAACTGCTGAGGCAGCATCTAATGTGGGCACTAATTGTGTGGCTGATGAGGGAGGACGGGCCGAGACTGGGAAAAGTGGCCTGGTGAGCCCAGTGACAGACACTGGGAACGAACGATGAACATGGGAGAAATGTGTCTCCAAGGAGCTGGAGGGATGCATCTCCGAGGGACTGGACATGGGGGACTTCATCCCTGAGGAGCTGAGCACAGGGAACTGCTGCAGAGCAGGGGTACAGGCCATGGGGAGGGCACTGAGCCTGATGTCCCCATCCCTCCAGGGTGACTGGCTTGGCCCCTGCGTACCCACATCCAGGCTCCTGCAAGAACCCATCCGAAATTAAACCCCAGCATTTTTAATTCCTCATTTCTCTCACACCCTTTCCTTTTTTTTCCCCTTCTTGGCTCGAAGGCAGAACTTCCACAGCTGAGCTGCAGCCAAGCTGCACGTGTTCCTACCCCAAACAAACACAGGACTGGCCTACGAGGTTCAGACCAGAGCAATTACTAAAAATAATTAAAAAAAATCCAACCAGCCCAACCCAACCCTTGGCAAGCCAAAGAAAACCCGAGGGACGAGGCTCTCACACCCTCCCCTTGTGCAGAGATGCTTCTCCCTGCCCCCGTGTGGGTCAGTCCCTCGCCCACCCACACCCACTGCCCTGGGGCAAACCCAGCCCCCCTTCGGGCAGGGGGAGGTCGGGGGTTCCCCCTCGGGGTCCCGGGGGGCTCACGGTGCTGGTGCCCCTCGGCTGCCCCTGCCCTGGGCAGCGCTCCCTCCCATCCCGCTGCTGGGATTTGCTGAGCATAATGGGGCTGAAACAGCTCAAAGCTGCTGGGCTAAATATATCGTCGTTGCTGGGGAAATAAATAATAAACAGCGGCTCGATTAGGATCTGGTGGTGTAATTGGTTCTGCTCAGGGTGGCTGGAGGGCAGCCCCGGGGCTCGGAGCAGCAGCACTTCAGGTACCAACACAGCAACAGTTAATGAACAAAAGACCCAACCAACCCCAAATTAAAAAGAAAAAAAAAATCAGAAAACCAAATCCCCCCTTCCCAAATAAAAAGAAAAACAAACAACAACAAACAAACAAACACCAAAACATTCAAAAAAAACAGAACCAAAAAAACCCCTAGAGGCAGAAGCAGCACGTGCACCTCCCAGACCCAGAAATATTTATTACAGATAATGGCTGCAGCAAAATGAATACGCTTTACAAAGCAGCACAACATCTCCGGGATCTGTGGGAGTGGGACAGGGCAGGCAGCTGTACCTCAGGCAGGCGGGGTTCGAGGAGCAGCTCCGCGGACACGGCCAAGCAGGAGCAGCCAAGCCCCCGGTGCCCCCCAGCCCTGCACAGGAACTGGATCCCGGTGGAAGTGTGGAAACGTCACCGTCCGGCTCGGCTGGGTGAGGAGGACACGGCAGACGCTCCCTGCTCAGCCCAGCCCTGGCCGCCGTCCAGGCCGGTAGCTCTCCCTCAGGAGTCATTGTAGGTAAACAGCATTAGAATGAGCTTGTTTGCACAAGAGCTGCTCCGGCAGCGGCTGGAAGGACGAGTTACAACCAAACCCACAGCCCGCAGCTGCTGCAGCAGCAGCGCAGCATCCCGGCAGGATGGGCTGCAGGGCCATGGAATGTCGCCGGTCCCACCGGCACAGCCCCGACCCCGCAGCTGGCCCCGGGCACGGCAGCACTTCCCGCTGCAGCCTTGGGAAAAGATCCTCCCTGGCTGCTGGAGCAGCTGGAACCAGCCCAGGCGGCCCAGGGTGCCATCAGCTGGAAAGGAGAACTTACCTTTAGGTGTGTTTGTGGAATGGGACTTTGGACAAGGGCATGGAGTCACAGGACAAGGGGGAACGGCATCACACTGACAGAGTAGGGTTAGATGGGATATTGGGAAGAAATTCTTCCCTGTGAGGGTGGGGAGGCCCTGGCACAGGTTTCCCGGAGAAGCTGTGGCTGCCCCATCCCTGGAAGTGTCCAAGGCCAGGTTGGACAGGGCTTTGAGCAACCTGGGAGAGTGGAAGGTGTCCCTGCCCATAGCAGGGGGTGGAACAAGATGGTCTTTAAGGCCCCTTCCAGTCCCCTGTGCCAGGGAGACACTCTCATTGAGGGTTCCTTCACTCCTGCATTCCAGCCTTTCTGGGGCTCATTCCCAGAGCCTCTCTCATCACCCATCACTCCTTCACTGCTCTTCACTCACAGGTGGTTGTG